AGAAGTACAGCTGCCAAGTATTTTTCATGGGTTACTAAACTAATGACTTTAACAATCGGTTTAGTCAGCTGATCAATGAATCGTGGATAACAGACGACAAAATAAAAAGAACGTGTTCCGAGTATGAGGTTATATAAATCACCTCTCTCTCCTGCATCAGCCTCTGTCCCTCTGCAGCGTACAGTCGATTAGTTTCCTCCAGAAAGCGTTGCTCAAAGGACTCTTGATAAATCTGCCAAGGAGGCCGACAGAACACAGGTTTCATTAAAAAGATTTGACAACAGGAAACAGACGCTTTATCACACCCGTGTGCAGGCGAGCCATGCAAACAACACACTTTTGTTGTGGTTCAAATAAACGGAGGGAATCCAAACAATTCAAAAACACATTTAGACCGTCACTACTTAATATCTGGATTATTATTTGAAGAGTTGCCCTATCACCTGAAGGTCAGAGAGCATGCTCAGCAGGCTCCTCAGCAGACTGCGGTCTATCGCCTCGCCGTTTCGCTCCCTCTCAATGAGCAGCAGAATCCCGTCGATGGTTTTGCTCTGAACCTTCAGATCGCTGATGATGTAGAACCGGAACAGCTCCAGACCCATGTCCCTGAAGACCACAACAGCCCGTTCACCATACAATAAAACAGAAATCAGCCCGAGTACGAAGCTAAAACCACAACGTGGCCGATCACTCACCAAATCGATGGCAGCATGGAATTCTGTAAAACGTAGGTGCGATCCAAAAACAGGAATATACTCCTAATCATGATCTGTGGAACAAAGATACACAATTAATCACGCTTTCAACGTTCAGATGACCTCCTCCAATCTTACATGTGAAGTTTAAAGGTCCTACAAAGCCTGCTGAGATTTCTCAGATGTTGCAGCTTCATTTGTTGGTGGTTAAAAAGTTAAGAAATGGGACAGAAATCACTTTAAGACGGAGAACAGATCGTTAGCTCCTCCAGTTTGGGGGGAATTTTAATTCCCTGAATATACATGTGTTGTTTAGGATGTGAAGAAATCAGTCAGAAATCAGGATGTGCACATATTTCTCTACTCATTGCCTTAGCTGTAAGCAGACTAATGTTGCTTTTGCGCATAGTCTGTCCCCAGAGGCTCATTCTGAACCAGAGAACAGCAAATCAAATTGATAACTCATAGGCAGCAAGTTTAAGACACACATATGAGACAAACATAACTTGGCTCAGGATAAATACTCAAATAAATGTATATGTTGTTCAGTTAGTAACTCACTGATTGAATTTCAATCAATATAAAATCCTTCGAGCGATAAAATACGGTATTACAACCTTGGGCCAGTAAAACTAAACAGTGGGTCTGTGCACTCCTTCTTACTGTTTAGAGTAGTAAGAATGCTGTAGAGGCAGTAAGAGTCATGTATTGTGGTATTAGTGTTAGTGGAAGGATTTGATAACCTGCAAATAGTAAATTTATGGATAACACATGGGTTAACTGCTGCTGACTACCTGAAATGTCTAAACCATAGGTGTCAAACTCTGGCCGAAGCCATACCAATTTACTATTAGAGCTGGCCTACTGGTATTATACAGCTAATATATATATTGTTTAGTATTAAGCTTTGCTTGTTCCATATTCAGTTTTCCAGCAAAACTTATTTGAGTCCATAAGAAAAGATTCATTCTTATATCTGGAGGAAGATTTTTTTCTCAATAAATATTAACGTTAGCCCGCGACTTTGTTCCAGTTTTGAATTTTGGCCCACTGTGTATTTGAGTTTGACACCCCTGGTCTAAACTATCATTATGGGCTGGATGGTCTGTTGTGTGGTGGCGTTATAAGAAAATTCTAATTTTTTACATTACATTTGTTTCTCTCTCTTCGCTGTCAAATACTCTGGTTAGCACAGATGCACCTGCTCCATACTGCTGTATGTAAATTGCCAACTATTATTGCAGTTTCATATGCTTGTTATGCTAGTTTTCAGATCCACGCCCACTGCCTTCGATACCTGATCACTTTCACTTAAACAGCTTCTTTATTAAGTGTGTGATTAAGAAACCGTTACTGCGCCAGCAAGCTGGATGCCCTGCAGCGATCCAACGTTAAACACTAGCGTAGGCAGCAGACTCGAGATATTCTATAGTAATGTTGTAAATTTCCATCTCCTCTAGCGTTTCTCACTCTGCTGGACTGGCTGCTTGCAGGCATTGCACAACTAACCTCATACAAAACCCAAGATAGTGATATTTGCAAAACAGTCCATTTACAGGGCCGGGGTGGGGGGTGACTAATGACAGATGTATTTGAGTTGCACTACTTGGAATGTAAGAGCCAGAATAGTTTGTCTCTGTTTGTAATATTTCATTCACAAGCCCCCCGACCAACTCTATTATAAATCAGTTTTAATAAATTGCTGTTTAACAGTTTTTAACAGTATAAAACATACCATTTGTCTACAGTGATCTTGCCAGCACTTGTCAATTTTCTTCAGGAAAAGCACGCTGTCCAGGGCATCCGTGAGAGCAAAGTTAAGGCAACAGTGGACACAAAATAACAACATCTTCTCTATGCGATTCAGTGAGCGAGACCGTGAAAGGATATTCTCTGAACTGATCGATTTGTGCCTTGATGTGGTCTTCACACACGGCCCTCAGCTGTTTGTACAACTTGGCGGAGATCTTATGGAAGCAGAGGTTTTCCACAGCCTGAGGGGAGAAAACAGAGCTGTCGGAATAATGATAACGGCGCAGTTGCTGTTTGCAGATGGGGGAATTCAGCGGGTCTGTCCGGATACCTGGTAGAGCTCCTCTAGATTGTATTTGATTGACGTGCTGTTCTGTATGGCCTCCACTGCCTCCTTCAGCTTCTGCCAGGTCTCCTGCGTGTAGTTCTCGGGCAATTTGGGCTTTTCTGTGAGGAAAACAAAAACAGACCTGTGTTAGCAGTCTCACTCATACTCAGATTATGAGTAGGCATCAGTCTGTCTAAATGAAAGTGAATACGTCTGTGGTAATTTTTTAGACTGAATGTAACTTACTTTTGGTAAAATCCCAGTTAACTGGAATTAATTAAATTCCAGAATTTTCATTGGTGAGATAAAAATGCATTTACCAACCAAGAAAGATAAACTCATTTGTGAAATAAGTCACAACCAAATTTGGGTTCCTCGACACAGATGTCCCTCTCTTGTTTCTGTGTCCTTCTGCATGTGGTCTCTCATGGACTGATTTAAGTCCATGTATGCAAAATGACCATTTTCCCACTCTTGTTTTGGAGAATGATTCACTCTCAGCTCAAGTCGCACACATGACAGATTTTTACGGATTATTTTTAATATACATTTAAAGAACGTTATCGTTATGAAAACAATCTGGGTTAGTTTTGGGTCAAAATACCGAGGTTGCCACGGTGATACGAACCCCACTTTGTAACGTACATGTTGCTAAAATGAGGAGTACCTCTAATTTAAATAAATGTTACAGTTACAGACTTTTGCACGTTTGCTGAGACCAACACTGCAATACTCCTTTTAAATTTTTCTCTTGATTCTCTCATTTCTGTCTTATAAATATATAAGACAGAAATGAGAGCACTTTAAAAAAAAAAGGTTTTTTTAAATGTTTGTGCAAGATTCTCACAGTTTAAACTTCTTAATTTTTTTTTTTAACTCTGTGGTTTGATTTGCTGTGCTTGTGTTTTTGTCTGGTCACCTTAAAGTCAAAGATGGTTTATCACAGTATTAATCTGTTTTTTCCCACATATTACACCCGGTCCCAGTCTTCATTTACTCATTGTTGGCCATCTATAATAACTGTACCATACAAGCTAAAACCACAATATGAATTTTAGTGTATTAAAAAAAATTGCACCTCAGTTTTTCTCAGTTTACTGACACTCGGCCAAATATTGTATCATCAGGTCTGTGACACAAACCTAAAGACTTCAGATCAGGTATCTTTAAAGTGAAGATTTCTTTGTTCTCATGGAAGAAAAATGTGTTGGGGTGGGCAATCAATAACGCAGTTTACAGTTTATAGGGCTGACGCAGTGTTTACAGAGTAAATATGTTTACTAATATATATACAAATATATTCCATATATACAAAATGGGTAGTTTTTTAAAAAACATTCCAGCAATGTATCTGATAACTTAGCTGCCTCAGCATCACTGTCTGTAATAAAAACCTGAATAAAATAAAAAAGAACAAGATTTATTTATTTGATATTTGTCTTGGTTAAAACTTGCTGCCTTTGTTTCTGCAGCTTGAATTATTTGTTTAACACGTGTAAGGTAGGATGCTACTCTAACACTGGTTAATTACTGGTGTGGGCTGAGCCTGAAGACTGCAATAATAAAATACAATTAACTGATACTCTGCTACGCGTGCTGCAGCCCAGATTTCAGGGTTTTTCCTGGCTTAGAAAAGATCATCAAGGGCTGACAACCAGAGCTATTACAGTGTTGTATTCTTTTTATTGATTTATTATTACTTTTTATTCCATCTTGAATTTTCATTTTTTATTTTTTTTAAGCTCACTTAGTTTCCAGAGCCACTTTGCTTGACTGTATGCCATTATTATTATTTGAGAACGTTTAGTTTTAGTTAATTTTCAGTGTTTGTTTTAGTCTGTTTTTTAAATAAATAAATAAATAAATAAATAAATATTATTAGATTATTTGCTAGGGGTAAAATTCTATGAGTTCAGACCAAAACACTTGACTTACAGCTAAGTGGGCATCCCAGTCTCACTAAACAGCTGCATGTGTTGACCATATTAG